TGTTATGTACAGCCAATTGGGACGCCATATTTTTGCGTACCGCTTCCTGCGGCGCTGTGGTGGGGTTCCGACAAGCTCAGTCGGGGTACATTATTTTTGTCAGGGGTTCTCAACCCTTCCACTCTCAGCCCTAGGCGTCTAACAATCAAAAAAGGCAATGACATAATAAATAAAAATACAAAATAAAGCGACAAACACGACATACACTGGTGGCCAAAACTAAAGCAACTGAAATTACAAGGAGAATGAATGCCCCATAACTCTTTTAAAAATTAAGAAAATGAGAAAGTTTTTCTAGTCTTAAAGTAGGTACTTTATTCACTTTTTAAAAACTTAAAACAAAAAACCAAAATTCATTTTTATATAAAAAATAATGTATGGTAAAGTCACTTAACCCGATTTTGGCTTGGACAAACAAAAGCAACTCTGTTGTACATTCATATATCCGCTGCAATTTCAGTTGTTTTTACTGTGATATTTATCGCTTTTTTTAAGTTTCCGTTTTTTAAGCACTGCCCAAAAAAAATTAAAAATGGCTAGAAGCAAATACAGTACCTGAATAAAACAGCAAATTATCAGTGACTATGAAAACAACACATCACAGAAAATGATTTCCGAGAAATATTTCATAAATATTTATGTGATTTCATAATTATTTCTGTATACTAAGTCGGTTTTTTGAAACTGGATCAGTAGCAACAGTCTATAACGGATGAAGGCCGTGAAAAACTTCAGCTCGTACTGATCCACAAATTGTGAGAGAAATAAAAAAACAACCATTTAAGAGATCAACTGGATTGTTGAGAGAGCAATCATTGGATATAAGCTCGAGATCAGTGCGTAGACGAGTAGTGGCAGCTGGTCTGCATGCCCGTAAGACATCAAAAAAACCATTTATATCTGAAAAAATCAAAAAGGCTTTCGGAAACGATAATATTAAATGGAATCAAGCTCAATGGAAAAACATTATTTCTGGGATGAGTCTACGTTTAATATTAAAGGCTCAGACGTGAACAATTTTACGGTGAGAAGACCAAAAAATGAAGAACTCAAGCCGCAGTGTTGCAAAGGTACAGTGAAGCATGAGGGAGGGTCAAAAATGGCGTGGCGCTGTTTTTCTTTCTATGGACTTGGGCCTATTCATGAAATAAAGGAAGTAATGGATCGGTTTGTTTACAAAAATGTGTTGGACATCACGTTGTTCCCTTACACTGAGTAAAATATTCGGCTCATTTGGGTGTTTCGGCATGACAATGTTCCCAAACTTGCATCAAAACTTGTCAAATATTGGTTGCGGGAGTCAAAAACTGATTTTTTGTCATGGCCGGCACAATTACCTGACCTAAACTCCATGGAGTATCGTAGATAGGAAGATCAAGCGAGATTCGGAAATAAATAAGCACAACATTTTCTAAAGAATTCGGGGTGCCTGGGAAAGCATACCCAAGGATCAAATTGAGCGTGTTATAGATTCAATGGCTCGTAGGTGTGCAGCTGCTATCAAAAATAATGGTTATGCTATCGACTACTAGCCAAAATTTAATTATTTTAGTTGCTTTAGTTTTGGCCACCAGTGTACAACTATGACAAGGGAACTTGGTGTTATTTTGTTCCCACACTTTGCCCGCCCATCCTTGACCCTTTGATCCTAATTATCATGAACAATTTAAAGTGTCCCATATTCCACTAACACTTACCACTCAATTACATACACTCATAGTCCCTCTCTCACAATTATACTCTCAACATTTCATAATCACAAACGTAAAATTAAACATAAACTTTGTGAGCCATTAATCAGGTAACCACCAATAACTCTAAGGACTTCAAATTTGTCAAATCTGGCCGCTAACTCAATTTCTAATTTCCCCTAAAAGAGCTCTCTTAATGCTGAACATTACCTTTTTGGTCCAGAAAAGCTAGCTTAACTAAGTCCCAATTCAATGGGGTAACCCTACACTCACTTACGGTTCCCTAGCATTAAGAAGTCTCACAATTAATAAAACTTAAGTACTAGACTATAATCTACGGACGATCACAATTAATTTAACATAAAAAAATAAAAAACAAAATTAATTTAAAATTGTTATTTTCTCTTTTGTTGTAATTTGGGGTTTCTGTCTCTGTTGTGCATATTCTTGTCTCAAATATCTATGAATAATTTGAAATCTTATTTTCTTTAAATGTCGGTAAAAATAATTTCAGCGCGTTTTTGGCGCGTTTTTGGTCACCTCTTGAATGCCGGCTAGTTAGATGTGGAACTTGAATGGGTTGTTCTGATTGTTCCCAAAAATGGTTTCTGACCGCCTCCAAATACATATATAGGGGCCAGGGTATTTTTGTTTGGTGGCTATCGTTGGCGAGACCTTAAACCAAAATACATATTGCATAAAAGGCCCTTCAACATAAAACGTTCTGTTTTTGTCACACAATAATGGGTATTATAAGTTTGATTGGGTCAGAATTTATGTAACAACTCGAAATATTGGTTTCCCATATAGGAAAGTATATATGGATATTCCTAGCTCGCCGAGCTGAGTCGATCTAGCTATGTATGTCCGTCCGTCTCTCCGTCTGTCCATGTTAATTTGTAATCACGCTACAGGTCGCAATTATGGCCCGATCCTTACGAAATTTTGCACGAAGGTGGGGTTAGGGTCAGAATAGAAGCCTATTTCTTTTGGAGATGATCGCCAAATGTTTAGGGGTTGAAATGGACCAAATACTAAAAAAATGTCGGATTTTGCAGTAGCTATACAGGTCGCAATTATAGACCAATCGTCGGAATTTCGCATGTAGCTAGAGTTTAGGGCTGGCAAGAAGCCTACCCATTTGGGTGGTCATCGGATAATATTTAGCGGGTAAAATAGAGCATATCTTTTGTGTTTAAAAAAATTCAAAATTTTTCATTAAACCGCGAATATTTTAAATCCCGGCGAAATCACAAAGCCATGACAAGGTTACTTCTGACCTTTACATTGATGTTAACATTCAACAAATCGGATATATACCAAAATATGTGCGATATATATGTCTATCAAAGAAGATATGCTTGTCGAGAACGGCTGAACTGATTTCGACAGTTCTCATTAATTCAGAATGGCCTCTTGGCAGGAAAGAAAAAACGTCTAAAAAAATCGCATAAAAATATCTCTCTAAAGATGAAAATATTGGTTTTTTAACATTTTCTCATATTTTTTCAATTTTGTCATATTTTTGGCATATTTTCATTTTCAATAAACATTTGGTAATATTTCTACAGCTAACAAAACTAAGTAGTTAGGATATCAGGATATCATATGCAGATCGCATTTATGGCTCGATCCTTGCGAAATTTTGCATGGGGATAAGATGAGGGTCAGAATAGATGCCTACTCTTTTTGGAGATGATCGCTATATATTTAGGGGTTGAAATGGACCAAAAAACTGCAAAATTGTCGGCAGGTCGTAATTACCGGACATTGCAAAAGCCAAGCAGTTTTGGATGGCCATCCAAAAATATTCAATGTGTGAGGGAGTTTGCCAACTTTTGTAGACTAAATACGAAAATGCTCATTCCAGTGACTTTTTGGAGAATTCACAAATACAGGAAAGACGCACTTCTGACTATTTCGTTAACGCTGATTTCGTTGAAGAATATAGTCAAACGTCTGTATCTCATATAGATGCGTTTCAGTCAAAAACCAATAATAAATGTTAATCTTTTGCCACTTCTAAGAGATTATAGGTCTTTGGGAAATATTGGATCCAGATCTAGGAAGACCATTTATGTGCAACATCTACCAATAAATTGAAAATGAGCCAATTCGTTTAAGTTGCTATTATTCGAAAATTAGAGAACGAAACATGATGGTTTTCTGTTATTATTTGTCACAATATCTTGTGGAATTCTTTCGAGTATCTCGCCTATATAAACTGCATGGTTTATTATAGTATTGTAGGGTATTCCACGGTCGGCCCCGCTCGACTGTAGCCTTTGCCTACTTGTTTTGTATTAATTTAAAACAAAAAACTGTTACGCCGTATTTTTTTATCTTAATGACTGGAAAGATGACTTGCACACAACAAACCACAGACCAATAAAACAGACATTTCCCCGATTTGCCTTGTTATAGAGACAAAAAGCGAGCTGATTTTCCCCCTTTTCTCACATTTTCCCGGATTTTTCCTATTTATCTTCTTATGTTTTAAACGCGCCTACTTTTAACTACTATTCTCCCCTCCAGAGTTGTATTTCCCTACCTAAATATAATTACATGTGGCAACGCCGGAATTTTGCACATGAGCCTATCACTTCGCGTATCCGGTTCTCTTTTTACTTGCCGTCAGCAACAGAGAGGGGATTTGCTGCTGGTTCCTTTTTCCAAATTCCAAATTCGTTGAAAATGTGTCAAATGTGTAACAAAATTCCTAATATCGGTGTTGGGGCTATCCGATATTGGGGTATTTTTAAAAACCCAATGGCAACACTATCATACAGCAAAGCTTTATTCGTGAGAACCACTTAAAATGAGAGTAAATAAGGGAGAGAGAGAGAGAGAGTGATGTTAAATTGGTTATTCCTACTTGTGCTCAACAATTTTGAGCCAAACTGAGAATGCTTTTTGGCCACAGCAGTGGCTAGCTGGTTAACATGTGTGTGATACACATACTGACACAAAACAACGAATGGTTGTGCATGGGGTTGGTTTGTTGGTTTATCCGTCGGTCGCTTGTTTGATCGTTCGACCTCCGTAGTTCAGTTAAGTCAAGTTAACCAAATGAGACGACTCTCTGTAATACGATGACGGTACGGTCGAACGGTCGTGTTTAGAACATTGAGACGGATGAGTGCTCAAATTTCGAAAATTCAATTTGTTTCTCAAAAAAGTGAATTCTATGGGATTTTGTATCGGCGATCATCCACCAACACCACGAGAATGCAACATTAGAACAAAGTAGAGTTGCATGAAATCAACAACAACAACAACGAGTGTATGAGTGTTTTTTCTTTAAGACAACGTATCTTAAAACTTAAGAAAAAAATTAAAATAAAATTCAAAGTGTTGCGTTGTTTTTGTTGGGGGTATGTACTGTTGTTGTATTTGCTGTTTTGTCTTCATGCTAAGTTTGGTGTTGTGTACTTTTTTCCCAAGAGTATAGAGATACTTGTGCTGGGTCGACTTGGCCTGTTGCTCTTGCTGCAACCAGCCACAACAACAACAACTATAATATTGTCAGCAGTAAGACAAGCGGCCAGCAAACACCAACCACCACCATCGGCATCACCGCCAACAAGAAGGCATGTAAATTGCAGAGCCCTTGATTTTAAGCACCAGATACGTTCATTAAGTCTGTGCAAGACGTTCCGCAATCTGAAAACGCGTTTCTTAAAGTCGCGTCTGCCCCGATTGCTTGACTTTTTTGAAGTTTTTCGTTTTTTTTTTGGTTTGCCTTATTTTTTGTATCTCCATCATCGTGTTCTTCAATCGATCGCTCGTTTCGTTCACTCGCTCGCTCGCAGCGCATTTTCGGTTTGTTTGTCTTCCAGTGCCGTTGTTGTCGTCGTGGTCGTCGTCGCAGTCGTTGTGCCACCCAAAAAGTGATTTCGAAAATTTCATCCAAATGGCAATAAAGTATTCAAATTAAAGGAAAATTAAAGATCAGATGAGATTGTTCAACGCAAATTGCTTTGCAAATTAAATTGCCTGACACGAAAAAATAAATAAAGAAAAATAACATCAAAACAAAATAAGAAAGAAAAAAATCTCAAGAAGATTCTTTGCACAACATCGAGATAAAAGTTTGTCGCTTGGTGAAGAGCTCATAAAAGCGTGTAAAAGTGCTAACAAAAATAATTACATGTGTGTAAATTAGGGGAAAACATCTAAAAGATAATTGAGCTTTTAAAAAAGTATTCGTGATCTACAGACCACATTACAGAGTCAAGATGTAAGAATCTAAAAATTCAAATGAAATTGATTACGTCTTCAGGCGTTAATGAAACTTGTGGATATATTTTATTGTATCATATAAGGACAGGAGTGATGATCATCCCCTTAGTTAAATCTTGATGTAAAAATAAAAAAAGGGAAAAGACTTAAGAAACAAGCGCTATTGCAAAGATGAATTTTGGCAGGTTCGTTTTCTAAGTCTTTTGTTTCACGAAGTCATTACTCTCTCTCTCTCTCTCTTCAAAATTTATTGAAAAACATTTATCTTACGTGAGTTTAAAACATAATAAATACGAGAATTACAATACCAGAATTAATTTGAAAGTTTCTGTGGATGTGATACCCTTGGTACAAAATAAACGAATTCCTCAAGATATTAGGATACATAATTGGACTTCTTAAAAAAACATTCAAGGTTCGCTCTCTAATTTTCGTTTTGTGGGGTTTATAATGTTTTAATTTCAATTTTAAAAGCGGATATTGGGATTATTATATCCTTCTTTCATTTCGTCCTCATTTATCTGGAATCTATATAGTCCAAAAACCTACAATCTCTTAATGACGAAAGATCATAAATTTAACAGTAAAAACTTTTTTCTCAAACATAAACATATCATATATTTTATGTTCATATATGGCCCATTTATGTACCTTCCACCGTACATAGTATGGAGGGTATTCGCCATTTCGTTAGTAACGCATCGAAATAAATATTATTTATTAGTATAATATTCTTAGACGATTTAGCCATGTCCGTCCGCCTGTCTATCCGACTGTTGTAATCACGCTAGAGTCAAAACGAATTAAGATAGATAGGATATATATATATATATATATATATATATATATATATATATATATATATATATATATATATATATATATATATATATATATATATATATATATATATATATATATATATATATATATATATATATATATATATATATATATATATATATATATATATATATATATATATATATATATATATATATATATATATATATTATTTAAGGGGTCTATGACGAATATTTTGAAGTGTTACAAACTGAATGACAATATATTTTTTAGAAGTTTTACAAACGCAATGACAAATTTAATATACCCTCCTTTCCAAGGTGGAGGGTATAAAAATGAGGGATATACGAAATTGTGGACCTATATAGAAAATTCCACGATCAGCATAACATTCGAAGTCGATTTAATGATTTTCGTCTATCTGTCTTTCGGTTGGTCCGTCTGTCTGTTTTTGAAATCACGATACAGCTCACATTATTTGACGTAGAGGTTTTAAATTTGGCATCGTTGATTCTTTTGTATCTAGGATGGTTGATATTGAAAATGAGATATATCGGTCCGCGTTTTGGGATAGTCCCCATATAACGGTACCTCTCCTTATATATTGGTATTTGCAGTTCGTTATGGATTCTAGCTTTAGGTCCAGAACATTGTATACATAGGTCCACGTTTTCGTATAGCCCCATATAAGGATACCACCCGATATTCGACATTTTGATGACTTTTGCCACATTTTTCAACGTATTTGTCTAAAAAGAAGGTATTTGTAGTCCGATATTCGGTATTTTGATAGTCTAGTCTAGGGATTTGTCTAAAAATCGGTATTTGTAGCTCGTAGTAGGTTCTACATTCGGTGTCAAAACATTGAATACCTGGGTCCACGTTTTCCTATAGTATGTGCGCCATACATAAATTTAAGCCACAATTTCTAATAGATCTGTGTGAAATACTTTTGCATAGAAATGTTTTCTTTACCCAATGGTAAAGGGTATTAGAAGTTCGGCCCGGCCAAACTTAATGTCTTTTTACTTTTTTTTTGAGTTTATGTAATTTTAATGGCTTATGACAAAAGTTGCACGTCTTCGTATAGACCCAAATATAACGGTTATATTCGGTATTTTTACGATTTTAAGAATTTTTAACCGATTTTTTTTTTGAAAATTTCCAAATTTGAATTTGGAGGGTATTCAAACCTCAGTCCGGCAGCCATGCAGAAGGGTTATCTTGGGTGTGGTAGGAGCCACGATGCCATGTGAATTTTCGTTGCATTTGCAATATATTTACGGTCTCTGTCGTGCCAATGGGTATTTAAAACAATATTTAAAACTTAATATTTCTATATGTATATACGTCAATGAAATCTGTATCAATGTAAGAAAAAAAGTGTAATTTTTTCGATTTCGGTGGGAAGTGGCTTTCGACATCAAAAATATTCATCAAAAATACTCTATAATTTTGATGTGTAGGGCGACAGCAAAATCAGGTCATTTTTCTGTTTTTGGTCCTTTTTATGTCCTATTTGCTATAGCTTCCATATAATTCCTTATATTTATATCTATCTATAGGATCTTATAGTAAATTAACTCACAATGAAGTATATATTTTCGGTATTTCGAAGGCTTCAGGCGTATAATTGGCTGTAATTCCTTAGTTTTAGTGGTTTAAAGGTCATAATCACATATGATTTTAATTTTTGTTTTTTTTTTTGTATTGGTAAAGAACCATCGACGTGATATGCCCTTACAATTATCATTCTGTTTCATATCCAGAGAATATTTCAAGGAACATAATTGAACAGAATAAAATTCAGTGTTGATTAGCCTGTTCTGATATTTGCCATACGGTTTTTATAATTTCGATTTGACGGAAGCTTAATATAGCGGTACCGGCCGATACCAGTCTATAAAGGGCTTTGGCCGCATTCTTAAGCCATAATGGCTTTAAATTATTATTTAATTACCTTAAGATGTAGAACATTGGAACAAACCAAAATATTTGCCCAGGCGATGTCTTACGTACTTATGGTCACAATAAGTTATGATTCTGTTGTGGAATCAGGAAAATGTTCTATTTCGAACCATTTTAAGCTCTAACTGGATAAGTCGACTCACCTCAGCGAGATAGTAAGATCGATATAATACATGGTCGGACTAATATTTCGGGGTGTTATAAACTGTTTTGTCCACCTCATAGTGTAGATGGGTATATTTATATATAAATATTACAAAATGTACAATTCAATATAGTAAGTCAAATTGAAAAAAATGCATGCGATTTTCCCTTTGGATTATATCCTTTTCTCCCAAGAGAACATTTCGAAGTGATGTGAATTGTCAAAATCAGTGCAGCCGTACTTTAGTTGTAAGCGTATATATATAGGCAATACTCTTTCGGGGGATAAAGTACTCACAGAGAAGTCCTTGTGTAGAATTTCAGACAATGCCATTGAAAAATGTAGCTAAAATCATCAAAATACCGAATATCGGGATATACGATATCGTGGACCTATACAGATAATTTTTTTCGGGGGGGTAAAGTAGTCACGATGAACTCTTTGTGTGGAATTTGAGACGGTTCCATAAAAATGTGGCTAAAATTATCAAAATACCGAATATCGGTAGGTACCGTTATATGGGAGATATACGATATCGAGGGCCTCTACAGAAATTTTTTTCTGGGGGTAAAGTAGTCGCGAGGATCTCCTTGGGTTGAAAATCAGAATATTCCATTGATAATATGCCTAAAATTATAAAAATACTGAGTATCCGGGGTACCGTTATATGTGGGCTATACGATATCGAGGATCGATATAGCTCATCTTCGATCTTGTCTTGCTGCAGACAAACGACAGATCGGTGCAAAATTTTAGCTTCCTACCTTTATTCGTTTTGACTCTAGCGTGATTACAACGGACGAATGGACATGGGTAAATCGTCTTATAATTTTACGCTTATTATTATTTCGATGAGTTACAAACGGAATGACGAAATTAATAATATATATGGTCTGTTTTACCCGCTAAATATTGTCCGATGACCAATCAAAATGGTAGACTTCAGCTCCAAACTCTAGCCCCAAGCTAAATCTTGTGCTGATTTGTTTATTATTGCGACATGCAGAGCAACTGCAAGAGACCATAACTTTTATGTAAGAAACTATGAAATATTCCAGTAAACCTCGAATACAGGTTGAGATAAAAAAAACTGCAGCCAAATCGAACGCCATTATTTTTACAGTTTTTTAATTTTATTGAATGAAATCAAAAAAAATGTCGGAAAAACCATCAAATTTTAGAATAAGTTTAGATTTGTTCGAATTGGTCACCGCTATCCGAATGTTGCTCTGCGGTATTTTGGGCCATTGCCGGCGAAGCGCTTGCTTGAGGTGATCGACATTTTGGTATTTTTTATTGTCAACCTTGCTTTCCAAAATACTCCAGACACACAATGGAATTTGGCACTTATCACCAAATTGACCATATTGACAAGTATGTTAAATTTGGTTCAGATAAAGTTGCAGCTCCATCATCATCCATGTTCATCCGTTTTGTTATATTATACCCTACACCACAGAGTATTATGTGTTTGTGCATTTGTTTGTAACAGGCAAAAGGAAACGAGAGCATAGGTAGAAGAGCTTATATGATTCATCTAATAAGGGATGCGTAACAACCTGCTGAAGTTCGAATATGAAAATGAGTCACAACTAGAATTCCGAAATTTAGTCAGATATACAGAAAAAAGTACTAAAGAAGTACTTAAAGGAAATTACATTATTTCCTAGGTATGGAGTGAGGGTGACTAGCATATAAAGTACTGTCTGTACAACTGTCTGTACAGGTTTGAGAGAGGAAGAGTGGAAAAAATATTTTTTTGTGGCTAGAAAAAACAAATTTGTGGCTAAAAAAGGATAAAAGCATTCTAGGCGAGAGCGGATAAGTGGAGCTAGAACTTTAAATTCTAGTATAAATATAGGGTGAGATGAAAAACCTGCAACCAACTTCAGACTGCTGTCATTTGTAAGCCACTCTTACGACAGCTGTTAAAATTATTCCAGTGACAGCCTATTATATGGTTTACAAGCATACAAAAGTATTTTGGTGAGAATTTTCCAGACAAAAAAAATATTCGTGATGGAATTCAAGCGTAATTTCTTTATATTCTGAATCGATTTATACATGTCCGCCCATCTATCCATTTATTTTTGTAAACAAAGTAGAGTTCGGATTTATTTTGCACAAATCATTCGTTTGACCCAAGGATGAACCCTATTGAAATTGGAGATAATAGGTAAAAATTTAGATATGGCTCCCATATATATCTTCGTCCGATTTGGCTTTTATTGTGTGCCAAACGTGTAATATCAGCCCAAATAGTATGGTATTTTGCACATTCACCCAAAATAAGTATGCCAATTTGATCGACATCGGTTCAGATATAGCTATAGCACCCATATATATATTGTACACCCGATTTGTTATTTTTTTCCTCCGCAGCCGTTATATGCATTCTGTTATAACTATATTTGGGGAAATATATTAAATACAGCTCAGAAATACATTTGGTGAATTTTATCGAGATTGGTTCAGATTTGGATATAGCTCCAATCTATAACTTCGTGCGATTTACCTTTTATTGTCCACCAAACGTCTAATATTTGTCTAAATGGGATGGAATTTAGCATTTAGCATTTAGCAGTATGCCAAATTTGGTGAAGATCGGTTCAGATATAGCTATAGCTTCCATACATATTATTCATCCGATTTGTTATATTTGTTACCCACAACCGTAACATGCACTCCGTAACAACGATATTCAGGGAAATATATCAAATACAGCTCAGAAATATCTTCGCCAAATTTTATCGAGATCGGTTCAGATTTGGATATAGCTCCCATATATATATATTTATCCGATTTCAAATTAATTGTGCACCAAATGGGCAATACAAATCCGAATTTAAAAGATACAAATGCTTTAAATTGTAATTATAATCATAGCGTGTATGATTGAATTCTCCCATAAAAACTTTTAATATTTATCGGTCCCGCCCGACTTTAAGACTTTCTTTACTGATTTTTTTAATTTAACTTACAATTTGAATTGCACATTTTTATACTCTTAGCCATATGGCTACGGAGGGTATATATCATTTCAAACGGCCAAAACGTACCTCGTCGAAATAATGGTTTTAGACCCTAGGTTTCTTTGGACCAAATCCATTTCAGGACATTTGGGTTCGATCTAGCGATGTTCGTCCGTCTGGCTGGTGTGCACGACAACTCTCGAAGGAAGTATTCGATTTGATCCAAACTTGGTACATCGTAATATTATTACCACAAAAAATTCGAAATTCTCAAAGAAAATAATTTACTGCACAGAAAGAGAAAAGAATTATCCGATTTTGCTCCAACTTTGCATATCCTAATATTTGCATCTGTGCTAGTTCAGGTGCAGAAATGGACAATATCGGTCCACTCTATCAAGTACATTCCCCACGAACGGTCAAAATTTGGAATAATTATAACTCTTATAAAATGTGATGTAAGTGTCCGATTATCTTCAAATTACACACATCACAATACCATTCCTCCTGGGTTACAATTTTGAATAACCAAAACGACCATAAAATCCTATATAAGCATCCACAAATCACAATATTTTTATTAACCCAAAGTCTGGTGTGAAGAATGAGATATATCGGCCCACTCCTTCTGTTACCTCCCCCGAAAATGGTCAAAATTTTGAATATTCATGAAGCTCATAAAACACGAAATTAACATCCGATTCCATTCAGACTTAACACATCTCAATATTTCCATCAATACAAGATCTGTTATAAAGATGGTAGAGATCGGACTTTACATTGATGCTGATGTATTTGACGAACATAGCCAAATATCGGAGATACAGGAAACCATATAGAGGAATCTAAATTTTCAAATATTGTTTTGAATAGCCATTAACAGGACATAGGACGGAAATATAGGACAAATATAGATTCTCATGACATCGTGGTTTTGGTCGAAACCAAAGTAAATGCAGGACTAGGTGACAAGAATTAAGTGAAAGTAACATATTCAATATACATGGAAAAAATTTTAAATTTCTGTTTTTCCGAGGAATCGCATTAGGAACGTCTGCTTGGTTTGTTTGGAAAGTATTGGTTTCAGATCCATGAAGATTATTCCAAAGTAATAGATATGAGGATGTTTCTCGGCGGAATATTTATTCTAATCAAAAGGGCTTCAGATCTGAAGAAATTTTTTTTAAATTTATTTAGTTGACATATTTTTTTAAGTTGACATATTTTCCATTTAATTTCGCCATATTTAGAATGTTTGAGTTCCTTTTATACATAAATTTTTGATTTTCCAATCGGGCCGCCCGAAAATGTGTACTTTGTTTTTTTTTTTCAAAATTTCTTCCTAATCATGTGAATGAAGGTAATATTTCCTGATTTCCATCTGTCTTTGCACGCTTCGATATTTCTATCACCACTAGGTGTAGATATAGGAAGGGATACTTCGGTCCCCTTCACCTAGTATTCGATTTGGTTAAGGATACCTCCCTTAAAAACATTCAAAATGCTAGAATATAACCAGTAAAGAAAGTCCTAAAGTCGGGCGGGGCCGATTTTATGATACCCTACACCACTTTGCTAATTTAGTTGAGCTCCACTTAATAATTAAAAGTTTTTATGGGAGAATTCAATCACACACGCTATGATTATAATTATAATTTAAAATTCAAAGTACTAAATATGCCGAAGCATTTGTATCTTTTAAATTCGGACTTGTATTGCCCATTTGTTGCGAAATTAATTTGAAATCGGATAAAAATATATATGGGAACTATATCCAAATCTCAACCGATCTCGATAAAATTTGGCAAAGATATTTCTGAGCTGTATTTGATATATTTCCCTGAATATCGTTGTTACGGAGTGCATATTACGGCTGTGGGTAACAAATACAATACATCGGATGAACAATATATATGGGAGCTATAACTATATCTGAACCGATCTTCACCAAATTTGACATACTACCTTCTAGACTAAGACGTTTGGTGTACAATAAATGGTAAATCGGACGAAGTTATATATGGGAGCTATATCCAAATCTGAACCGATCTCGATAAAATTTAGCAAAGGTATTTCTGAGCTGTATTTGATATATTTCCCCAAATATTGTTGTTACAGAGTGCATATTACGTCTGCGGAGGACAAAAATAACAAATCGGATGTACAATATATATGGGAGCTATAGCTATATCTGAACCGATTTCGATAAAAATTGGCATACTTATTTTCAGGCCTAATTGGTTGTATGTGCAAAATTCCATACTATTCGGGCTAATATTACACGTTTGGTGCACAATAAAAGGCAAATCGGACGAAGATATAAATGGGAACTATATCTAAATTTTTACCGATTATCTCCAATTTTAATAGGGTTCGTCCTTGGGCCAAACAAATGTTGTTTGCAAAATTTCATCTCAATCGGATAATAAATGCGACCTGCATTTTTTTTCACAAGAATACATGGACAGACGGACTGACATGCATAAATCAACTCAGAAAGTGATTCTATGCAGATCATCAAATGGAACTATGGGTCTATCTCGTTTCCTTTTGCCTGTTACAAACAAATGCTCAAAGACATAATACCCTGACCACCTTGTGGTGTAGGGTATAAAAATCACATTTAAAGTGTTACGTATGTGACTAAGGCCTAATATGGTGCAGGTTTTTCATATGATTATGTACTCCTATGTGAGATTTGGTTACTTTCAATTTTTTTGATATATAAATAACGAAATACCTTTACCAAAACAAAAGACTTAAGAAACGAACACGAAAATGCCTTTGGAAAAATGAATAAATTAACAAAATCTAATTCACATTATAAACATTTGCCTTGCGTTTTCGGTGGAAACAAAGTCCAACTCTGTTGATATCACTTATAACTTGAAATTAGAAAAAAAAAAAAATAATTTTGCGAATTAGTCATGCACAGGAAACCGTTTAAAATAATACATGACACACATTGTATGCTGGCAGTCAGCCAGCCAGAGAACTGCTCTCAACCTCAGTTAACAAATTTTCGTCATCGTCTGAGGCCGTAATTGTGTAGTCAAAACCTAAGAGATTTAATAACTGAGAAAACCGCACTGCCAGAAGAAAATTTCAAGTGCCCTGAAAATATAAATAAGTAATCATTTTTTTTTCATTGTTCCCGTTTAAAACACAGAAAGAAGAATTGAAAACACAGTGCACCCAAAGAAGAAAAATTAAAAGAAAACAACAAGCATTTTTTTTTAAGAAATCTCGTTAAAAGTGTTTGCGTGTGCCTACATAAAGTGGGTGTGTGTGTGTCTTAGTGTGTGAGAAAAAACCCAAGAAAAATATAAAGAAAAAGAAACGCTCATTTGCTGGCGAAGGGAAAATCTAACGGAAAAATGCAACATTGAACAAAATGCTTTTGGCCCTAAAGCAACAGCGAGTACTAGTTTGGCCAGCACTACTACCATTATTATTGTTATTACTATCATCATCGTCGTCATCATCATCATCAGTATTAACATCATTATTATTAGCATTACTAAGGCAACCACGTTACTCCAACAGCAAAAATCAGCAGCAACAACAACAACAAATACATTTTAGCAACGTAAATTTATTTTTTAAAACACAAAGTTTTCAAAGTGATCTTAAAGTTGCTGTTGTTGTGTTTTATTGCCGCCGCTGTGTTGGCCTGTCCACCACGCCACCGCTTCAACCACCACAACCGCCAGCACCACGGACTTTGTTGCCACCACCACCACCACCTGTAGTACTACTATTGCTACTTCTCTCAAACCTCTGCTGCAAAGTCAAAGCCGCCAAATAAAGTGACGAAGACCACAACGAAATTTACGGTGACGACGTCGAGCAACGTAAAATGGAACCCTCATATGATCACGAACATCAACATCATTCTCATCAACAGTCGCAGTCGCAGCAGCAGCAACAACAACAACATCTACTAACAAATTACAAGTAATACAATATTTACATTTTTCCCATGACAAAGTTTTTTTTTCTACTTTAAGTTGTTGTAGATTTTTATTTTTATTCTCCTTCATTATCATTACAACTTGCTTTACTCCCCTGTACTTTACTATCCGACTTGCATACATGCACGCATACGAACGGTGTGGGGTCCCATATTATATGTTTTAGATTTAAATTTATGAAAGTTGGTACTCTGGGGGGAGTACCGATCTGAAAATTTATTTGAATACCTGCAACACTAAAATTTTTGGATTTAAATAATGGTTTGCCGCCTGTGCGGTAATATAGCTCCAAAAGTACTTATGTCACAATTAGGTCGGGAGAATTTTTACACCCTACACTACATTGTGGTCAGGGTATTATGCCTTTGAGCATTTGTTTGTAATAGACAAAAAGAAATGTGATAGACCATAGTTCCTTTAAATGATCTGTCAACCTTGTTTTCAAAAATATTCCAGACACAGTTGTTCAAGGGATTGAAATCCGGAGATTCTGGTGGCCATTGTGCGCTGGAAATGAAGCGAGGAACCTCATTTTGTAAACATTCTTGTGTGACGCGTGCTGAGTGCGATGGTGCATTCAGCATCAGCTGACCTCTTGGCAAGTAAACACGATTATTTCATTTGTTTACAAACTGCTGGACAACGAATGTTTTCTCATCGGAGAAAACCAAATTCGGCAGTTCACCATTTTCGGCCAAGCGAAGCAACTCTTTAGCTCTTCTGAGTCTATTTTATTTCTGTTGCGGTGTAAGTTCTACCACTTTTTGGAATTTCAATCGCTTTACTCCGAGCTCATTTTTCAATGTTTGCCGAATGAAATATTGCGATATGTTCATCTCACGAGCCATTTTTCGGCCAATGCGACGCGAGTTTCGATCAAATCGCTTCTTTACTTTTCGATCCATTTCTGCTAATGTTGCTGTTTTCTTCCGTCCATGCTGGTCCATGCTGGTCCAGGTCTTCGCACAGCTCCGATATAATGGTACCTCCCTATATACGATATTTTGATGATTTTACGTACATTATTCACCGTTTATTTCAAGTTTCGAATTTGAATATGGTAATGGCTAATGGCAAACCATGCCTATGTTGGTCCATAGGCATGGTTTGCCATTAGCCATTGTTAAAATTTAACAGAATTTTTTAAGGATTTTATTTTTTTTAAATTTCCAAATTCGTTCCAAGTGGTGGAGGGTATTCAAAGTTCGACCCGGCCGAACTTACTGCTTTTTAACTTGTTAATAATTTGATCTGTCAAAACTTGCGAAACAAGTCAACTATTCTTTACAACTTGCTTTATCTAAATATTTTTCTCAACTAGAAAGTGACTCTCAACTAGTATGACCCTCCTATGACGGCCTAACCTAGAGCACACTGTGCTCTAAAGTGGGTTTGTGTTTGTAACACAGAGAAGGAATCGAGATAGACCCATAGTTACTTTGATGATCTGCATAGAATCACATTCTGAGTCCATTTTTTGTTTGTTTTGTGAATAAAGTAAAGGTGGCGTTATCCGATCAAGATGTAATTCTACAAAAATTATTTGTTTGGCCTAAGTACGAACCCTATTGTAATTGGAGATAGTCGGTCAAAAATTAGTGCGCCTTTTATTGTGCACCAGGTGTGTAATATTAGGCCAAATTGGTTCGAATTTGGGACATATTACCAAATTGACCCTAGAAATAAGTGAGTCAAAATTATAATATAATAATATTATTCATCTGATTTTAAATATTTTTCTCCACAGCCGAAATAGGCTCCCCGTAACAACGATACTAGGAGAAACACATAAAATACATCTCAGAAATACTTTTGCGAAATTTAATCGAGATCGGTTCAGATTTGGATATAGCTCCCATCTATATCTTTACTCGATTTCAAGTTTATTGTGCACCAAATGGTTAATATAAACCCATACTAACAAATTTAGCCTTGAAGAAAGTGTATCCAATTTGGTGACAATCGGTTAAGATATAGCTATTGGCTCCATATATATGTTTCATCCGCTTACTTCCTCACAACCGTAAAATACTCTCCACAACAACGATATTTGGTGTCAACTGTCAGATACAGCATAGAAATACCTTTGCTAAAATTTATAAAGATCGGTTCAGATTTGGATATAGCTCCCATATATGTCTTCATCCAATTTCACATTTATTGTGCCTAAAAAGTGTAATATCTGCTCAAATAGGATACATGGAAAGTGGTGTAGGGTATCATAAAGTCGGCCCAGCCCGACTTTGGGCTTTATTTACTGTTTTTCTGTGAAAATTTTGACTTTTTGTTTAGGTGGTACCAGAAGGAGTGGAACAATATTGTCCAACGCCGAACTCGTTCTAAGTTTGACAATAATATTACGATGTACCAAGTTTAAATTAAATCGGATACTTCCTTCGAGAGTTATCGTGCGTCAGCCAGTCAGAGAGACGGACGGACACCCCTAGATCGACTCCAAATATCCTGAAACGTATTTGGTCCAAAGATACCTAGGGTCTAAAACTGTTATTTCGATGAGGCACATTTTGGCCGTATCAAATGATATATACCCCCTCTAGCCATATGGCTGAGGAGAATTACTAAATACCCTAAAGAAAATTCTTTATACCCAGTATTTGGGTAAATATCCGAATAATCACACAATTTCGTTGAGTATTTACATACTCACTATCCATCCCTTACAACCTGTTAGAATTTACAAACACATCATCTTGCCTAGTTTTAGGATTTAAAAAACGTTTATCCTCTTATAGCTTGCATTTTACACCCTTTCCTCAATGGTGAACCCCAACAAAATTTCAAGATTCTAATTGCAGCTGTTTTGTCTGAGTAATGATGAAACTGTCAAGTTACTTTTCAAAGACATAGAAGTGTAAAAATAGGACAAGACAAAAATAAAATATGGCAACCCTGCGAAAATGCCTCTGTTGTTACGATATCATAACAACATAGTTACCAATGTTAACTGATTTAAACCGCTAAGACAAAATGAAAATTTTTGGAAAGGTCTATGGAATAGAATTTTCAAACCAAAATTTTGAATTTTTCAAATTTTTATTTGTTATTCGTTTTTGTAATTGTGGTTTTTATATTAACATGTCTCTGCCATATGCTGTTACTCTATGTATTGTAGACACAAACCACTTGCTCAAAATGCATTTTGTCTAGTCTTTACCATTTTAGGTCTTTGGTCTTTACCAGTGTTACGATTCCGATCACAGAAAATAAATAGAACTAATAAATTGTTGAAAATAGGCACCCGAGATTTTATAATTTCTTACGTTAATTAAATTTTTTCTGTTCTTACCCTATGATGTTGTAGAAAAATGTCTGTAGGTATTTTTGATTATTATTGCCGTTTGGTGACTTTGTTGTTGTTGCTATTTTTGTTTTAGTTGTTTGTCTTTTTAATTATATCCAAGTGAAACGTAGATACATATCTTTTAGATAATAACCATAATAAATAGAGGTGTACAGGCGTAGTTCGCTGTGTGTGACAATGGCAAAGCAAGAGTTTAGTTGTGTGAGTGTGTGTGTGTGTTTGTCGGTCTACGACAACTTGTAGCTTTTCCCTGTGCAACTGCAATGGCAACGACAACGACAATAACAGCTGCAGCTACAACTGCAACAACAGCAGCACAACAACACTGAGTGTTTCCGATTTATTCGTTGTGCCGTTACCTTCTTTTATTTACATACCAATGTACATTTTTACATTTTCTGTAATTACTGATTTTCAGAGACACTTGACGTTATGCAGATTTCTACATTTAGAATTTAAGTTAAGTTCACATTCATTGTTGTTGTTGCTGTTCGTACTATTTTCCATGGCATGTTCTATTCTGCTGGAACGAGAATGGGTGCAAGTGTTTTGTGTTGAGTAACCTTTCAAAAGACCGTATCGCCGAATGAATGACTCAACATATTTATCGATTTTAATTTCTGTCTTTTTATCATTTGCTATGCTTTTCGTTATGTTTAGTTGTTGTTGCTATAAATTAATTTAGAAATTAACTACCTAGGGAATAGCGAGGTGTATTTTAATGAATGTCAATGAATAAAATAGATCGTTTTATTTATGGTATGGCAGGTGCAAGCTAAAACTTTCAGTGGAAAACTTTACCAGACCAGGGCAATAGGGTCCCAAATCCCGTTTTTTTCCTGCCAAACCCCAAAACTTTGTTTGGCTTGTTTTGAAAAAAAAAAAAAAACTTAATATCTGGAAATAATGTATAAAGTCTCAGTTGTGCATTGTTTTCGTCAACTCTTAAAATATGGGCCAATCTTGAAAATTTTTTTGTATGAAGGCTTACTCTCTACAAAGAGATTGCAACGTGGTTTTCTCGTCGGCCAAGGTAAGCTCAGCTGTACCCAGGGTCTCCATAAGGACCAACTAAACCATATGAGAAGAGTAGAATTCTCACTTTCCTTGGGCTAAAAATCGGATGTTTTATTGATTTCTATACCTTGCAACATGCATAGTATGGAGGGTACATTAAGTTCGTTATCCCGTTTGTAACTCATCGAAATAATAATTCTAGACATAACAATATATATACAGGGTGACATGAAAAAACTGTAACCAATTTCAGACTGCTGTCATTTCTAAGCCACTCATCCGACAGCTGTTATAATTATTCCAGTGATAGCTCATTGTATTTACAAGAGTACAAAAGCATTTTGGTGAGAATTTTCCAGAAAAAAGTTAATCGTGATGGAATTCAAGCGAGATATATATTTGGCTCGAAACTACAAGTGGGTATCGTTAAAGCACTCCAGCATTTAAATGTGAATAAATCTTTAGTGTCTCATACAATCGCTCATTATCGTGATATTGGTAGCGTAGCTCAACGTCAAGAAAGTTGACGGAAAAAACAGCAACATCAGCAGAAATGGTTCGAAAAGTAAAGAAACGACTTGATAGAAACCCGCGTCGCAGTGGCCGAAAAATGGTATGTGAGCTGAACATATCGCAATATTCCA